CTCTAATTTATAATTACATTACGATTGCTCAAAGGTTGTAGATGTAGAACCCGAATGTGACGATGTCCTGCGGCTAAAAGTGGCACTTCCGTCCCAGGTCCGCCAGCGCCCACGTTCCTGCAGGGATGCGCCTGTGCCTGACCCATGACGCTCGGGCCATGTCTCTTCACGGAAGTCGCGCCCTCGACGCCGCTGCGCCGTCCTCGTTACTTCTTCACTTCTCTCTCACAGCGCGCTGAGCCTGCTACCCAGAGGCACATTGCGAAGATGGTGCTCTCTTTCATCCTCATTCAGAACAGGCAGTAAGTTAGGGTGTTCGTGCAGAGGAGGGTTGGGGAGGTCATCTAGCAATTGAGGCTAATGGGTTGTAGAGGGAAGACAAGATTGGCAAAGTGGTATGCGCCGTATAGTGTGAGTTGGGATGTCTACTATGTTAAGAGATGGCGCAGTAGCTAACATCAAGGCAGGATGAAGAGAAAGTCAAGTTAAAGGGCGAGGTATGCGACACCCTCCTTCCCACCCACCCACCCACTACACCTCCGACGCCTACCTAACCCTCAAACCCACCCCCTACCGACCCTCCGAACATAACTAAATCACCAACCAGGTCCACCGCCTCATCGCCCCGCGCGACCAAAAACACCAATCCAACTTCGTCGAGTTCCGCAACATGTCCAAGATCGTGTACCGCCGCTACGCCGGCCTCTTCTTCTGCGCCTGCGTCGACACAAACGACAACGAGCTAGCGTACCTAGAAGCCATACACTTCTTCGTCGAGGTGCTAGATGCCTTCTTCGGGAACGTGTGTGAGCTGGACTTGGTGTTTAATTTCTACAAGGTGTACGCGATACTGGATGAGGTGTTTCTGGCGGGCGAGATCGAGGAGACGAGTAAACAGGTTGTGCTGACGAGGTTGGCGCATTTGGATAAGCTGGAGTAGGGAGGGCGAGAAGAATATACTACATGAATTACATGGTCGCAGCATGCCGCAAGGCTGCTTCGACGGGCACCTCGGGCTCGAATAAGAGGAACGAGGTTAGTAGCTATGAGCTGCTAAGGGCACACGGTAGAGTTACGTGTATAGCCGCGCTGAGAGGGCTTGCGCGAGTATCTGGGGCGCCAGTAACCCCATGGTGGGTTGGTATACTTTGAGGCTGATTCGGTACCAAGATTTGGCCGGAAGAATAGCACGGAGAATTGCCTGCAAATCCTAGCGATTCCTGCAAACACATCTTTCACACCAATCTGTTCCAGCTTCTAAATTCGGTGACACGCGCGTGAATGGGCCCTGTCGTTCTTGCATGTGAGGGAGCGCACGGACGCGCTCTTATGATGGAAGCAGAGGTCTAGAAAATAGCCACATCATCAACCTTGGTACTTCGCGATCTGTCCCTTCGCCTGTGCCGAAATTCCCCCAGCATGCTCGCCCCATGATATGAACATCTCTAACACCATTCCGCGCCCCGTTGTTCCTCCGCCACACGCCTGACCCGCCTCGAATCGTCCCGTCCGTCGAATCCACCGCAACACCCCCGCGCCGCGACCATGTCTGAGTTCGCCGCATACCACGCCCTCGGTACGGGCTCTCCAAACCCGAATGGATCCGGCAGACCAGACGAGCCCAACAAATGGCGTCCACCAGTCGCTGCGGGCCCTCCTGGCTACCAACAGACGGGCAGCCCGGCCATGGCCCAGCCTCCGAATCAGTACACCGGCACACCAGCGCAATATGGCACGCCAGTCCAGCAAGAAGGTTATTTCCCCGACCAGTCGGCGCTGCAGGGTCAGCCTCAGTACCAGGGCGATCAAGACGTGAACAACCTCGCGGGGCAGATGGGAGCAGTTGGTTTGGGTATGGATCAGGCGGCACAACCCAAGCACAAGAAGAAGAACAGACATGCATATCATAATATCGAGGGACCTGGAGGGACTTCACCGGCGTTCAACGGAGCGCCGCAGAATGGCACACCTACACAATACCAAAACTCGCCTCAAGTCGGAGGAGCGCAATGGATGGAGCCTCAGATCACTCCCGCCATGAGCCAGTTTCCCGCACCCGTAAACCCTATCTTCAGTCCTGGATCGCAGGCTTCACCTATGCAGTACGCTGCGAGAACACCGGCAGCACCACATCAGAGTGGAGGAGCGGCGGTTGGATCAGCTCAAGGGCGTGTAGATCCCGAGCAGATTCCCAGCATACCGAAGTCGCGCGATGCGCCGGCGAAGTACTACCTAGAGAACGTATACCCGACTATGGAGCACCACCTACCGCCTCCCGCCACGGTCCCCTTCGTAGCCTTTGACCAGGGCAACTCCTCACCTAAGTTCGCACGTTTGACCATGAACAACATTCCACTCACTGCGCAAGCCCTTGCTGCGACGTCTTTACCACTTGGTATGGTCTTGCAACCGCTTGCTGCTCAACAGGAAGGCGAGCAAGCTATACCCGTATTGGACTTTGGCGAGTCCGGTCCACCAAGGTGTGCAAGGTGTCGCGCGTACATTAATCCATTCATGCAGTTCAAGGCCGGCGGAAACAAGGTCGTGTGCAACTTGTGTACATACCCGGGCGACGTTCCTGGCGAATACTTTGCGCCTACCGATCAGTCTGGTGTCAGGATAGACAGACTGCAACGGCCGGAGCTCACTTTGGGCACTGTCGACTTCCTCGTACCCAAGGAATACTGGTCGAAGGAGCCTGTCGGTCTACGGTGGTTGTTCCTTGTCGATGTGACCGCCGAGGCTGTAAACCGTGGTTTCCTCCATGGCTTCTGTGAAGGCATCATGAAAGCGCTCTATGGCGAAGAAGCAGAGACAGAGGGCGCCGAGACTACAACTCGGATACCAAAGGGTGCTAAAGTGGGCATCGTCACATACGACAAGGAGATGCACTTTTACAACCTCAACGCCAGCTTGACGAGCGCCCAGATGTTGGTCATGTCCGACCTCGAAGATCCCTTCCTACCCTTCAGCGAAGGCTTGTTCGTCGACCCCGTGGAGTGCAAGACCGTCATCACATCACTTCTTGCACAGCTACCGACCATGTTCTCTGAAGTGAAGAATCCAGAGCCAGCGTTATTACCTTGCTTAAACTCTGCCGTGGCAGCATTGTCGGCTACAGGCGGAAAGATTGTGTGCTCTTTGGCTGCGCTTCCGACTTGGGGTCCTGGTCGGCTGATGCTACGTGAGGACAACAATGTACACAACACCGATGCTGAGAAGAAGCTTCTTCAGACTGAGCATCCTGGGTTCAAGAAGGTTGCTGAGAAGATGGTGCAGAATGGCATTGGTGTGGACTTTTTCCTTGCTGCGCCCAGTGGAGGGTACCTCGACATTGCGACCATCGGCCACGTTTCCGCTGTAACAGGTGGAGAAGTCTTCTACTACCCTAACTTCCATGCGCCAAGGGATATTCTGAAATTGTCCAAGGAGATCCAGCACACAGTCACGCGAGAAACCGGATATCAAGCGCTGATGAAGGTTCGCTGCTCAAATGGCCTGCAGGTCTCTGCCTACCACGGAAACTTCTACCACCACACTTTTGGCGCCGATCTAGAGTTCGGAGTCATTGACGCCGACAAGGCTATTGGTGTCATGTTCAGCTACGATGGCAAACTGGATCCGAAGCTTGATGCTCACTTCCAGAGTGCGCTACTATACACGGCTGCTAACGGTGAGCGGCGAGTGCGGTGCACGAACATCGTGGCGAGCGTTAGTCCGAATACTGGTGAATGCATGAAGTTTGTCGATCAGGATGCCGTCGTAAACATCATCGCCAAGGAAGCTGCTGCTCGCATGACAGAGAAGAACCTCAAGGAGATTAGGGGAGCCTTGACGGAGAAGACTGTCGACATTCTTGCTGGCTACAGGAAGAACTTCACCGGCAACAATCCTCCCGGACAACTCGTGCTACCAGAGAACCTGAAGGAGTTCGGCATGTACATTCTCGGACTGATCAAGTCAAGAGCCTTCAAGGGCGGCAAAGAACCCACAGATCGAAGAGTCCACGACATGCGCATGATCAAGTCGATGGGCCCACTGGAAATGTCACTATACCTCTACCCCCGCATCATCGCAATCCACAACCTCGACGCGCGCGACGGTTTCGCAAACGAAAAGGGCCACCTCGTAATGCCAGAAAACATCCGCGCCTCCTTCTCCAAAGTCGAAGAAGGCGGCGCCTACATCGTCGACAACGGCCAAGTCTGCCTCCTCTGGCTGCACACACAAGTCTCACCCAACCTCCTCGAAGACCTCTTCGGCGAAGGCAACAACAGTCTCAAAGCGCTCGACCCCTTCCAATCCACTCTCCCTGTCCTCGAAACCCACCTCAACGCTCAAGTCAGGAATATACTGCAGTATCTGGAGGGTACGAGGGCGTCCAAGGCGCTTACCATTCAGCTTGCAAGACAGGGTCTCGATGGCGCGGAGTACGAGTTTGCAAGGTTGTTGTATGAGGATCGGAATAATGAGGCGCAGAGTTATGTGGATTGGCTTGTGCATGTGCATAGGCATATCCAGTTAGAGGTACTTGGCATCTGATGGTGTTCGTTTGAACGCGATTGCTGACTTTGAATAGCTTGCTGGACAGCGCAAGAAGGAGGACTCGGGCGATGGTGTTGGTTCGACTTTCGTGGGCCTGCGGACACCGTACTGGGGTTAGAGTACTGTAGAGAAGGCAGCGACGTTGATGGATGAAGTCTGTATTGCATAGCGATAGCGGGGGAACTGGCGGAGTATTACTACTGAAAGACGAGACCCACGTATTCAATTCAACACCCAATATTTCTCCCATCATGCTGTCATCCTGCGCACTTTGATGTTCCCACCTTTGACCCCCGACGATGCGAGGATGCGCCGCCGTGATGCGACAAGGATCCCGCACGTGACCCTCACTAGCGCACCTCGCTTAGCTTTTCCGCTCAACGAAGAAAATCGCCAGCGCCAGCCTTCCATCGAACTTTCGCTCGACAACTAACCCACAGCATCACGACGCAAAGATGCCTACCCGCCTAACCAAGACCCGCAAGCACCGCGGTCACGTCTCCGCCGTATGTTTTCACGCTGAAATACTTCGTTTACTCTGCTAACTCGGCATCCAGGGTCACGGACGTGTCGGAAAGCACAGGAAGCATCCCGGTGGTCGTGGTATGGCTGGTGGGTGAGTACTATCCGTGTACGAAATGCATGTCGAACAAACACTGACTTCGTTATTCTAGTCAGCACCACCACCAGACCAACATCGACAAGTACCATCCCGGTTACTTCGGTAAGGTTGGTATGAGGTACTTCCACAAGATGCAGAACCTCTTCTGGAAGCCCGTCATCAACCTCGACAAGCTCTGGTCGCTCATCCCCGCTGAGAAGCGCGCCGAGTACCTCGCCAACAAGTCCGGCAACGCCCCCGTCCTCAACCTCCTCGACTACGGCTACTCCAAGGTCCTCGGAAAAGGTCGTCTCCCCGCTGTCCCCATCGTCGTCCGCGCCCGCTACGTCTCCGCTGAGGCTGAGAAGAAGATCAAGGAGGCCGGTGGTGTCGTTCAGCTCGTCGCATAAGCGCCAGAACGATACGATACGATCAACCATCACTCACACAACACGATTGTGCATGAAACGGCGTCTCGGAATGATACAAAAGGATACCATAACGGCAATGATTGGGATGGATCTTCAAGTCCGCAGTTACCCTACAAACGGGTCTGCGTTGACTTGCGTCAGCGTGGTGGCTGAGGAATGTTTCATAGACAATATGACCGTTCCTGAACAAACCTTTGGCCTTTGGCTATCCCGCACATGCGATGCCTGGATGTGGTACGGCATCGCTATGCTATCGCATGGCTGCCTCCGTGATGTTGTGATGTTATGGCGTTGTGTGCTGTGAGGGGAAAATTATGTTGTACTAACTTGATGAGTCCAGTATACCGCGTTACTTCTTGGTCTGAACGCCTGTCGTCCAAACAAAGCCTTCTGCGCTTCAAGCGCTGGCGACGATTCAATTACATCGACTAGAAAATCCGGCGCCATCGAATATGCGCCTAGAATAGTGACCTTTGTCTGCTATGCCATAGTTCAGTCCATCTCAGTAGCCGCTCAAGAACATACGGGCGTACTCATTAGTTTGTATCAATCAGCAATCGAGATATTCCCCAGTCACGTTTTCAACACCTCACTCTCTTCGATTTCCGAACCCCTCGTTACACCGCACAAACATTCCCGTGCCCATGAACATGGTCGAACGCCCTCAGCAGACCACACAGATGTGCAATACCAGCACAAACAACCAAACAATGCATGATCTGGTGACTCGAACCCCAGACATCAAACCAGTACGGATACCATTTCTCTGGGACCTGTATGTAGTCAGTTCTGCATTCCTTTTCTTTCGCATGGAATGATTTCCAGGCATATGGACCTACTCTCAGAGCATACACCACACCCCCAGCAAGATTCAACACCGCCATCACCACCATCCAATCCAAACTCATCCTCCCCATCTGCGTCTCCACTCCAAACTCCAGTAAACCATGCACAACAGGAACGACAAACGAGAGACCAAGACCCGCATACATGGCCGCGCGGTACGGACGATATTCCGGGCGACGGAACGCTGGGTGGAGCGTTGCGTAGACACAGCCTCCTGCTAGGGCAGATACGAGAGTGTAGTATGTTGTTTGCAGGTGGGGGGAACAATAGAAACCGTAGTATATACATGGGATGGTGGAACCATACATTAGTATTACTATGCCAAGCTGGGGTAGTTGGTTGGCTGTGGTGGATTGGTGAAATGGTGGGGGTGGGTTACGTACGTAGTCGAGCTGGTTACCGAAGATGTGGACGGTTTTGCTGTGGTTGGCGATGATGTGGAAACTGGGCTTGTGTGTTAGACATTTCCTAGGCGCTAGTAAGTTGATGTGGGATGTGTAATGCAGGACTTACGTTGCGGATAGTGCAAAGCAAATCCCGACACCGAGGAAGAAGGTCGAGAAGACGATGGTGTCGGCTGTGGTTACTGTGGTGTATCTTGGCTGCTGCAGGGAATAGTATACGGGGATGGGGAGAGTGAAGAATAGGACTGAGCCGATGAGATGCGAGAATATGTTTGCTGGAGAGGGGTTGGTCAGTTCGTCTTTTGTAGGCTGGCACTGGGTGATGGCTTGCCTGTTTCGTTGTGGATACTGAGAATGCTGCCAAAGGACTGCGCGTAGGAGTTTGAGACGGGCCTGTTTGTTGCTCTTTTCTTACGAACTGTCCATGGAACGAGGGTTTCCCAGGAGTCTTACCTGTAGCCTGATAGAATGTACTCATTGTCTCTAACTCTCGTAAGCGGCACGTTGACGACGGGTTAATATACGGTAGATGTACTGGTACCAACTCGCTACCGTATCGATCAGCTGCAGAAACATGATCAAATTTATCATCTTACGTATATCATTCCATGTCAGCAAGGAGATTCTTTGCTCTTTTTCTGCTAGATCACGAGGCGTGGCCTTGCCGCTATCAGCCTTGATGTTCACATAGGCGGTGAATACATGCGTACCTGGTTTTGAGCCGTTGAACCGACCCGTGATGCAGGGAGTCGAGAACGAAGGCTCATTCTGGTATTGCTATCTTACTGGAAGGAAAAGATTGAGGGGGAAAGGTGGAAGGTGGAGATGTATGCGGCACAGCTCTTGTGCATGTGACTCAGTGCAAGGGCCATTTCTTCTTTGACTCAAACTTGACACGGCACGTATTGCTACTTCGACATCAGGTAAACACGGAAGGTGATTTGCGAACCACTTCTTTTATTTCATCTATCCTCTAGCTTGATAATCTAGTGTATGCAGGAGTAGTGATAAACGTAGTACCAACGATTTGGATATCGCTCATCCAGCCTCTGACACATCTTTCCCACCTTCCTCGTCACCATTATATCGGAGTAGAGACTCACCCTTCTGCTCTTCGCCATCCGCTGCCAACTCCCCAGTACCAGCTTGCTGATTTTCAACAATACTATCCACACCACCACCATCACGACTCCTTTCATCAACCTCGGCCTCATCATCAACCCCAACCTCGTTACTTCCCTCCAATCCCTCTCCCTGCACAACCACGTTAGTAACCCGCAGAACACCCCTTCCATTACTATGATCTTCCGGTACCCGATAACTCCTCGGCAGCGTCCGACTACTCGACTGCGAAGTTATCGCACGAATGGGACGGATGAAACGCTCATTGACTTGGCGTTGTGTGCGGAAGTGGCGTTCAAGAGTTTCGTGCGCAGACAAACTGGGCTGTGTGTGGCCCGATGAGGGGGTCGTTTCTGGACGTGAGAAACCGGCTGGTAGTGAGTCTGCTTGTTGGGTAGGTGGGGTGGGTGGGTTGAGATGGTTGGGTGTTGCGGTGATGTTGGTATGCTGAGGAGGTGGGGGTGTAGTAGTTGGATGACAGTGGTGTTGATCCCTTTCAAGCGCCATCATCAGATCCCGTATCTCCTTTGCTGCATCCTGTTGCAGAGGTAAATCTTCAAGTTGCGTTTTCCGCAACCGGTCACTGAGACTTGAGCCTGAATGCTCTTGTCTGGGTCCACGCTGAACCTCCTCTTCAACCTCTTCCCCCCTCTCTCCACCTGAAGACCCTGTCTCTGAAGATACAGAAACAGGCAAAGGGGTCACCACCCTAACACTCCCCGGCGCCCTCTGAATCATCTGCGAAAGACCAACGGGCGGACCAATGACACTCTGCGTCCGACTTTCTAGGTTCGGAACAAGAGAAGGTGGGTTGGGTTGTGTACTGTCTTTTCTCCTCTTCGCTTTGGGTTTGGGGATGAGTACGGGGACTTCTGTGGGGTCATTATTGTTGTTGATGTTTTCGATGTGGTGAGTTCGCGGCGCAGATGATTCGGGTAGGCGGATGGCCATGAGGCGTTCTCGGAGTTTTGCTTCTTCTTCTCTTTTTTGGGTTCGGTGTATTTTGTGGGAGAGGTAGGCTAGGGTGTATTTCTTTGGGGGTGTGGGTACGGCGGGGGTGGAGGTTGCGTTTGCGGTGTTTGGGTTGGTCGGGTTGGGGATGGTGGTGTGTAGTGGTGTGACGGTTCCGGGTCGACATGCAAAGGTGCTTAGGAGCCGGTTCATCATGTTCTTCCTTCCCGCATTGGTCTCTCCAGCGGAAGTTCTCATGGCGAACTCCTCCTCGTCCTCTTCTTCCGCCATCTTTCTCTCCTCACCACTCAAAGCGTCCAGATACCGTCGCCTAACCTCATCCGCCCGTTCCCCATGACCATCTACACCACCATCCTCATAACTCTCCCCCACAGACCCAAACACCCTCTCTGCATCATACTGCACAGGCGAAGACACCGTCCGTCTCCTACCCCTCCCTTGACCCCTCCTCAAATTGCGCTCACTCTCCGTATGATACCCCTCAAGCCCAAGCCAATACTCGCTCGTCTCTTGAGCACTCATACCGTGATAAGGATGATTAGGCGCATACGTATACCCCCCTTCTACACCATCATCATCGTTTCTGTAACCATCATTTCCTTCTTGACGATGCTCAATCCGGTAACTCAGGCTCGACGCCGTCCCCTCCGCAGAAATCAAATGCCTACTCGCATTAAACGGACTAATAGGCGTTATCGCTCTATCACTTGGATATATCGGGAATCGTCGAGAGTGGGGTGTAGGCGGTGTTACGGCGCGGAAGTATGGGGAGGGGGATTGTGTGGGTCGGGGTGGTGGTGGTGGTTGTGGTTGTCGAGGGGGCTGGGAGAAGGAGGTTGGTGAGGACGGTGCGTCTTCTGGGTAAGGGTTCGATGGTATCGATAGTCCGGGTGATGGAATCGATAGTCCAGGCGAGGAGTTTGGGTGTATGATTAGGTTGGGAGGGGAGGGGAAGGGCGGGGGTGGTGTGGTTCGCGCGGGTTGTCGGGTTAGGGGGAGGAGGAAGTCGTCTTCGGGGTAGGGGTTTGAGGGGAGGGAGATGGAGTCTTGGTCTTCGTTGGCACCAAGATGAGGTGGTTCTTCGTCTGGGGCTTCCTCGTCTGACGCTTCTTCGTTTTGTGCTTCTTCGTCTTGCGCTTCCTCGTTTGGCACTTCTTCGTCCTGCGCTTCTTCGTCTTGCACTTCTCCATCTGGCGCTTCCCCATTCCACTCCTCTGGACTCAAATTCTGCAGCATACTCTGCAACTCGCGGCCCTTCTTCTTGCCAACCTGTTCATTTCCGTCAGTAATCACTTTACCCATCCCAAACGTCACAAACATACCGTAGCATACCTCCCCCCACCCTCATACATCCTCTGCACCTCATCCAACCTCATCTTCCTCGCCGCTCCACTATTCAAACTATGATACGCCACATACATCTCCCTCTCTCCACCCCCATCCCCGCCCAACGACACTCTCTCTTCCGCAATCCGGTGCTCCGAACGCATCAACCGCTCTTCTTCTCGGTCCATGTCCAACTCCCATTGCCCGTCCCACGCCCCATCATTAATATCCTCTCTGCTCGCATCTCCATCTCGATCCCTTAGGGGTTCCATACTATCAGACCTTCCATCACAATCTTCATCACCATCCTCATCCCCCCAGCCAACAGGACTCATATCCCTCAAATCCTCCTCCGACTTATCCACGCCGGTGTGATACAGACCCAGCGACGCAGAGAGTGCCGTACGAGCATTGTCGCCCCGGCGACCTAGACTATCTCTGCGACGTAGAGTATTCGTGAATTTGCCTCTGAGGGAGACGACAGTTACGCTCTGCCGGATAGTGGCGATGCGGTCGCGGAAGCGGGCGAGGTATAAGGCGGTTTGTTCGGGGGACATTGTGGGTGGATGTGCGTAGTGGATGGAATGGAGTTTGGAACGGATTATGCATGCATTTCCCTTAGTAATCCTGCGTATGAGCGAAGTGATGGAAGCAGTTTCCGGACTGATGCGGTTGAAGCCTTTGGGGTGCTTCGGGCCGTGAGTTGAAGACAGGTGTTGCACCCGCGGCCGCTGGACTGAGACCTGAACCGACTCCCGAATTATCACTGTCACCGTGCGCTGTGGGCTTGCATATCTTGGAAGCGAGACACGAGGTAACGACTGCTTGTAGGCTGGTTAGTTGGTGGGTTGAGGTTGTTGAGCTGTCAAACGTCAGTGGTTTTGACATCCTTACCCGTACATTGGACCCTTATAGCCATATAACCATCAGTCACATAAGGCACAAAAGCAATACGCACCAATCTTAAAGATAAGTTTGATTAGGGTATCCACGCCATCACTACGCCTTCTCTCCTACACCCAGCAAGTTCAGCAGTACCTCCTTCGCCTTGTCTGGCTCGACGCTTCCGTCCGGAGCACGCATCACCATTTGTCCCACGAACCAGCCGACCTTCTTGACTTGACCCTTTTCGGTGATGTCGCGAACCATGTCGGGTTTCTCTTCTAGCAGAGTTTGTGCCAGCTTGATGTACTCTTCCTGGCTGAGTGGTTGCAGGAGAAGGTTCTCTTGGTGAACGACTTCAGATACGCTGCGCTGGTCTCCCTCAAATTTGATGGCAAGTAGGCGTTTTGCGGAAGGCGATGTGACCTCTTTGCGACGTATGTGCGAGATGACACCGGCTAGATAGTCGGCCGGGACGCGGTTGGGGTCCCAAGGTTCGTCTTGGAAGAGAGAGCCGAGTTCCATCAATACCCTGGTCACGCGTTAGTTTGATTCCGACGCGTAGCATAGCAGATGAACATACCAGTTCCCGGTGATCTTGCCCAAGGTTTCTAGTGGAACATCTTTCTCGTGCTCAGTTTGACGGACCAGGCAGCGAATGACGTCCAGATAGTATTCCAATCGTTCGCCATCGTCCATGGAGAGAAGTGTGATGGCATCCTTAGTAGTGAGTCCGTAGGTATTGGCGAGCATGTCCACGTTCACATCCGGCAGCTTTGGAAGGGTGTTCCGGAGGTATTCAACAAGATCCTGATAAGATTAGCACAGCTTTCATGCCAAAAGTATTGCCTGTGCTTACGTTTCCAATGATGACAGGAGCAATGTCTGGGTCCGGCATATAGCGGTAGTCGATCTCGCCCTCTTTACCTCTGAGACGTTTGGTGGTTTTGCTTCCAAGAGTCCATCCGCGAGTCTCGCCCTCAACGACACCTCCGCTCTCGAGCAAGTCGATCTGTCGATCGCGCTCTGCGATGATGGCGTCTTCGACAGCCTTGACGCTTGCCAGGTTCTTGATCTCAGTCCGTTGACCCAGACCAGTAACACCGTGATATGAGTGGCTAGAATCAGATGACTCCCCTGCGCGTTGACGAACTGATACGTTGACATCGGCACGCAGTCCGCCCAACTCCATGCCAGTTGTGCAGGCATTGACAGCCTTGAGTATGTTTTGTATCTTGCGAACGACGACAGCAGCGACTGTAGGATCGTGGATCTGAGGTAGTGTGATGATCTCGATGAGAGGATGCGAGACGCGGTTGAAGTCAAGTAGGTGAGTCGAAGGGGGTTGCTGCACGGTCTTTGCGGTATCCTGCTCCATCTGTATCTGCTTGATGCCAATCTCGACAGGACCTGATTGCGGAGCAGCACCAGGCGGGAAGTCATGAGGGTACAGGGTAATCTTGCCGTTCGTCGCAAAAGGCTCGTAGTACTGTGTGATCTGGTAGCCCGAGGGCTGATCTTGGTAGAAGTAGTGCTTGCGGTCGAAGCTGCTCTTGGGTTGTATCTCGCATTGGAAGGCTATGGCGGCGCGGAGGGCGGGTAGGAGGGTTTCCTTCTGGAAGTGAGGCTGAGTACCGGGAAATGCGACGTCGAACAAGGAGACATGGGTGTTGGGTGCCTCGCTGACTGAGGTCGCAGCACCAGAGAAAAGCTTCCGCGCGGTGTTGAGCTCGGCATGGACTTCGATTCCAACCGTTAGCTCCCACTTTTCTAGTCGCACATCTTTGCCCTTTTTCGAGGACTTTGGGGCGCCAGAAGAGGCGCTCTTCTCTTTCTTTTGTTGCTTCGCAGCATCTTTCAGCTGCTTTCGAAACGCCGTGCCATCCTGGGTCGGTGGTGGCTGGGTCTCAGTGTGGAGAGATCGTGCTGTGTGACGCGTGGGAAGATGGACAGCGCCCAATTGAGACTGTCTAGTCCGGCGCAGACATGAATGACATATGTAGGGCTGTTTCGAGGCTGTAGCAAGAGTGTTGCGGGTGGTGCGGGCGAACATGACGTGAAGTATGGCGAGCAGCAGTTCTGGTGCCAATGCACAGTTGCGGGCGGTCTGTGCTCACTTCCGAGCGACCTTGAACCAGCGACGCGCGACGCCAACCACCCAATACTTCAACGCCAGGAAATGAAGCCGACGCCAACGCCAAAATCTTTCGCGTCGTTTGTTCCACTTGAACACGTTGCGACGTCGCCCAAAAGGCCGTCGAACTCGACGAGCTCTACCGACATTTTCTCGATGCCACCGCATACACAACGACCGTCCGCTTTAGGTCACCTTGTGGAGTAACCTCTGGAGTTTCCTGATTGCCCACTCAACAAGGACTTGTCTCTTCCCGGGTCGTCCTCGTTTCACCCTCTCGAGGTCGATAAGACGGAGGTTGGCAGCAACTCCGCCCAGGTTCTCGGGCACTGACAGCGTTGGATCCGATTCGCACGAGCTTCCCACCGCGGCATGAGTCTCCGGCGCCGCGTTCGGCGTATTTTGGTGTACAGTAGTTGGCGCGTAGACATGAACATAACAGGTGATGTTCTGATAGAAGGTGTGCTCACCCGTGTTAGGGCGAGGAACGTCGAAACCACCGACGTTTGCCATGCGAGTCGTTTCGATCGGCTCTCTTCTTGCGGAAACGAGCCTTCAGTCTTCTGAAAGAGTTGCGGCACCTCTGCCACGCTTCTTCGTCTTTCGGTCTGTCGGCGGCGTGTACGAAGTTCCCAGGATGGACATAGACTCCCGGCCAGCGAGAGAAGTTTGCCTCTGATCCAACGTTGGAGTCTTGGGAGAATCGCACGCTCCGATAACTCCGACTACTGCGTACACTGGTCCCCATCCGCGCAAATGGTTTGAATGTTCCGGGATCGAGCTTGCTGCGATGTACGCGAGTCTTGACCGAACAATCGAAGCCTCACAACTTGCCTTTGATGATGTTCTCAGCAACAGCTTTGGCGCTGTTCAGGAACTTCTTTGTCTGTTCTTTTCTCTTTTCCTTCTTCTGTGCTCTCGCTTGTTTACGCTCTTCTTGTAGCTGTAGTTCTTCTGGTGTGCTAGTATCGGGCTGTGTCTTCGACTGCGACGAGGTAGAAGGACCGGCAGTGTCTGTCTGGAGTACAGTGGCGAAGTCGGTGTACTTGTATTCTCGTTCAGTCGGATGAGGTTCTGTGTCGGCACAGTCTTTTCCCGAATCAGCACCACAGTCACCTCCAGTATCGCCTCTCGAATCGGCTCCGCGATCTCCAGATGTCGTTCCGCAATCGCCTGAGGATGTCGTCCCAGAGTCTGCGGCGACGAATGAAGACTCCATTCAATGCCTTGAACCGTATCTGGCGTCGCTCAAAGATGGAGTTTGAGTGTAAGCAGCGTGGCAGTCAGGCGGATCTTCTCCTTCAACTTAGCCGCCTCGTGGCGCTTTGCTTTGACTGCAGTAGCGGTCTCGGCTCGGACTGCCCTTCGTTGTTGCTTCTTCTCTTTCTTCTCCGCTCTCTTACGCTCGTACTCCTCTTGATCTTCTTTGCGTTTGCGGTCACGTTCCGCACGCTCCTCGGCTGTCAATGGTCGGCTGGACGAGGAGGAACCACCTTGTGGGATGTAATCGATTCCTGAATCTCCGCCTGAGTAGCTACCCCCGTCACCTGCGGTATGGGATGTGCTGCAACCGCCGGAGTCGCCGCCGCCACAGTCGCCGGAGCTATAGCTTGCGCTACCACAATCACCGCCGTCTGCCATGTACTGATCTCAAGTCCCGAGGTGAAGCCTGAGCCAGAGCAAGTTGACTTGGAGCCAAAATTTGGTCTTCTTGTTACCCGCGTGTGGGACCTTGGCCTTGGTGTCTGCTTTGGCCTTGTCTCGAACCACCTTCCGCTGTCGCCTCTTTCGCGCGAGCCTCGTCTTTACTCTGTACCCTACCGTTCCCTCCTTGCTGCAGAGATAGCTACCGGGATTGGGGGATATGAAGAATGGTGTGCTTGATCCGCAATGTGTACTGGTTCCACAATCCCCGTGTGACATGTAAGGTCGAACGTAGTATTCCAGAACGAGAAACCAATGTCAAGTCTAGAGATGAAACCTGAGCTTGAACAAGGTAATGTAAAGCCGAAGCTTAGCCTTCTTGCTAGTCGTGTCCGGGAGCTTGGCCTTGGTGTCTGCCTTTGCCTCGTTTCGAACCTCCTTCCGTTGTTGCTTCTTTTCTGCGCCTTCCTCCTTCTTCTTTTGCAGTTCTTCCTTCTCCCCAGCGGTGAGATGGCGACTGGGAGTATTAGGTGCCCAGATTGGTGTGCTTGCAGACGAGATAACACCAGGTGTGCTCGCGATCGTTGGCGCTGACGGTGCGCACGCTGTACTAACTCCACAACCTCCAGATGTGGCTGCACAGGTCATAAAAGGTCGGTCGTAGTCGTCTACCAAAGACGGAAGATACCAAAGAAATTGGCTATCTTAGCGCGAAGTCCCTTCTTCAACGTACGGTTCGCTAATCTCTCCGCTCTGGCTTCCCGGCGTCTGAGCTTGCGTAGTCGTCGCTCTTCGATAATCCTTCTCCTCTCGCGTGGTTCGAGTGGATTGGTGGCTCTCGGTCGGTGATTCGAAAGTGTTCGGCCTTGTCCCTGGACTGGGGCTTGGAGTACACCAGAAGATACCGAGCTTGTTACACAAGTAGCAGTCGTGCTCATAAACACACTCGAAGCGTCAGAGAGAGTGTAGGTGCGGGCGTTCTCAGAAGTTCCCGGTGAAGATCCTTTTCAGCTTGAGGTGTATCCTGTCGAGCTTGCTTGGCGTATTAATTCTTCCGTTGCGGACCCAAGTCTTCCGCTGTGCCTTGCGGGACTGTGTCTTTTCGAACTTGCGGAGGCGTTGGCGGGCTACGTGTAGTCTCTCGGTGGATGTGAGAGGCCTGCCGGTGAAGTGAGTTGTTCGGGGGTCGTGGCCCTGGTCGAAGATGGTGCGGCGTTTATGAGTGATCCTCGGGCAATATGTGCGCGTGTGGCGTTTGGGTTGGGTTGGTTTGGACCGTCGGGTGTCTAAGGGCATGTACTCAGTCGGTGTGGTGCTGCATGGACTGCAGGTCTCGTTGAAGGCGCTAGTGAGGGTGATGTAGGTTACGAAGGACTGGAGGTCGTGCGTGGTAGGGGAGGTGTGCAGGGACTGCACAAGTTGCTGCTACGCTGATGATGAGCTGCGAGGCAGCTTGGCCGAGGTGTTGTGTGATGCCAACCAAGAGGATGCTGATTTGATGATAGGGATGTGCTATACAATAACGTTGTGGCAGCAAACGATGCTTGGGTGTGGATGGGTAGTCATGCAGTGAGGTGTGTTGGGGTGAGAGTGTGACGGAGGAAGCTTGTTTGGGTCTCGCGATAGATGTAGAAGCTGGCATCTGTCGTGGCTTCCTCAAAGGTAAGGGTCTATGGTCAATATGGAAGGCATCAGTCGCACAAAACAGGACAGAGCCATCACTGCTTTCTGTGCATTAGGGAATGGGCATTTCAACCGCAAATAAGGTGCAACAACACTGGTGCTCACTCATTCTTGGTCAAAGCAGCGAAAGCATATCGAAGGAATTCTCATATATCTCTATACTACTATGAACTAGTTCAGTCAAAGACATACTGTCTGACCAAACAAACCAGATTCTGGCCATATTCTGCATGAAGCTCCACCATACTGTCCCCATGCCGTGGAAATTCACACTAACCGCATTCAAGGAAATACAAATTTCCGATCCCCCATCATTCCCCAAAGTTCCTGAATAACAGCACGCTGATCCTCGCGCTTCGCATTGCGCACAGCAAAGTAAAGACGACCCTCTAGCTCCGGATCCCAACCACCCGGGTTGGCGCTAACGACAACACCACCAGCCTCTTCCAGGATACACCATCCAGCAGCAACGTCCCAAGAGTACACACCTCCTTCCCAGAACGCGTCGAGCATGCCGTGAGCTACGTAGCAGAAGTCCAGTGCCGCGGACCCGTTTGAACGTACAGACTTGCACATTGCGCCGCCCTCGACTTTGGAGGTGAGGAGAGCGTTGTGAATCGAGGTACGCAGTGCCCAGTTGGGACCAGAGCGCTGGTTACCCCACTCGACGGCTATGAGGCAGGAGTTGAGCGATGGCATCGGCTTAGGGATGGATTGGACCGGCAGCTTGATCTTGCGGTTGGTGAAGGTCTTGGTCAGGTAGGCGCCTTGACCCTTGATCGCATGGTACATGTCTCCGCGGAAAGGATTGAACACGACTCCGACGACAGGCTTCTTGTCGAGCGTCAGGGCCAGGGAGATGGCGCAGTTGGGTACGCCCAGCGAGAAGTTCAGCGTGCCGTCGATTGGATCCACGATGAATGTCGGCGTGTCTGCGAGTTTTGTGCCATGCTTGAACGTCTCTTCACCGAGGAAGGTGAATTCAGGGAAGGCTTCGGCAAGGCGTTCCTCGGCCATGGCTTCGATTTGCTTGTCGAATTTAGTGACCACGTCCGATGTGTTGTTCTTGTGGACAGTCGTAATGATGCATTCTTCCGCTGCTACCATGATCTTTCCTGCATCCGTCGCAATTTCAATCAGTAAACTGTGGACTTCGTTGAGACGACTCCTGGTGATGTTGTTTTTGGCTAAGACGGCATCGAAGTCGAAGGCAGCTGATGAGTCTGACACAGAACTGGCCGGTACAACTGGTGTTGTTGACTCAATGGATGATGTGGGGCTGGACGACTCTGATGAGTCTGTTTGTTGAGATGCCATTTTGGTAGATTTAGTGAGATTACTGAAGGAACGACTTGAGGAGTTTGTGGGTAGTGAGCAGGAGTGAGACTGGAAGTTGCCGTTGAGTCTGGAACAGCTTGAGAGCCTTTGTCTTATGTACTTTCCGGCTTGGGCGCGATTCGGCAGTGCTGTTGAATGAACGTTTGCCCTGTACGGTGAGTGTGCTTTTAGACGTTGTGTGTAATTACACAATCCGAGGCCCCGGTAACTCGGTGTGAAAGTAGTCCACAACTTGAAATTATTCGAGATTGTTGCCAGGTGAGGCCGCCTCACATGCAGCATCATAAAGGAAGATCGAAAGAGCGATTGAGGATTGATACTTCGTTGCTGCGCAAAGTAAGCTGGGGCCGAATGTTCTTATCTAGACACCTCAGGCAAGTCATTGCGGCAGGCAACTGGAGGCAACAACTTCGATTTCAAGGACTGCTGATAAGCAGTAGGCACAATGTATATGCCCTCCATTATGTCTCCGGGTACGTCCGAGCTGAGAGGAGTCGAGCGTTACACTAGGTAAAGGGCTGGGAGTCGATCATGAGCACATCCGAGGCATGTGTCAACGGTTCCGTTCCGTTGCTCCTCAAACCCCAGCGGAGCCCAGGGCTTTCATACTCACGTTATCGCTGCAACCCAGAGACAGGATGTCTTCGTCAAGTTCGTGCGCTGGGTCGGAGGACTAGCATCTGCGCTATTTGAGTGATGGATGTGAGGCAGGAGCGCAGGCGAAGACGAAGGCTCTATGCGAACGCACGGACCATTGCCAGAGCTCCCATGCTGCACCACGATGTTTTCGGCCACACATGTATCCAAGCCTCTCATGAGCTGCAAAACTTTGGGAAGTAGAAAAGAAAGAGACGTTATTGGAAACGATAGAGATATGTGCACTGGACTCTGGTAAAGGAAGGCAGTAAATTCTCAATCAAACGCCTCGCCAAACGACGTCATACACGACCCATACCAACCACCCAATACCTAGGCATACACCTCCAGAACTTCGACATTGTAAACAACACAAAACTAAAGATGCCACAACCAAAATCCCTCCCAAAAGACCGCTATACCCGCCAACGCGCCGCCCGCGCTACGCGTAGGCACCTCGCCTCCCTGACACCCTCAACATCGCATCGCCAACAGCAATCCCTCTTCTTCACCCTGCTCCCAGCAGAAATCCGATTCACCATATATCAGCACGTTCTTAGCCAACAGCACGACCACAGCCGACCCGTAGATCTGCATTCCATATCTCCCCTCTACCGCCCGCGGCACACCTATCTCACGAAAATCGACACTAGCCTGTTACTCACGTGCAGATTAGTATACGTAGAAGCGCACCAAATCCCGCTCCGCAGCTCCACCCACCACTTCCGCTACCTAGGCTCCACATCCTGGCTCTACAACGGCGACATCTGGCTGCACCACATAACCTCTCAGCGCGGCGTCTCCCTCTACCACCTCCACGACAACCTCGTCGCCCTGAAACCCTCCAACTTCACTAAATTCCTCCTTCAACACCTTCATTGGCGCAGAATAACCTGGACAATCTGCGCCTACCTCCTCCCTCCCCTGCTCGCCGAACTAAAAGAACGCCAGCGCCTCGTTTCGACACTAGCATCGCTGACCCTCCCAGCCTCATGCCAAGAGGTGAATCTAGAATTCGAAACACGAGAAGATTTGTTGCCGGATTGGCCGGGGTTGGAGGAGCAGATTGAGGCTTGCAGAGTGCTGAAACTAAAGAAGAGGGATGGGAGTGTGTTGGAGAGGGATGATGCGTGTGCGGTTGTGTATACGTGGAAAGGGAGTGGGCATGCGAGGTGGGGGACGAGTGAGGATGGGGTGTGGAAGGAGAAGATGAGGTATTGTACTACGAGGCTTTGTTGGAGGGCGAGGGTGCCCAGGAGAGAGTATGCGAGTTATGATTTTTTGGATTGTTTGGACGTGGAGGGGGATGGGGAGGGGTTTGTGGAGAGCGTGAAGAGGTTGGATGGGTAGTTGGAGATTGGTGGGGAGTGCGGTGTGGATGAAGAGCGCACAAGTGTCACAGCAGTGTTCATGTTTGCATGTTGATGTGTGCTGTCTGAGTTTGGTTCGATTGATCCTCTTCCGCCACTTGTCGGTCCCTTGAACCTAAAACATCTCGAAGGCCCTTGGCCCTTTGTTTCCGCCACGTCGCCGACTGCACAAGTACGCTTGACGCGCACGTGTGCGTCGTACTTCGTGGCATCCCCCATCCACCGCATTCGTCATATTTGACACTGCTGAGAATCCATTTAACGCTTGAACATAAACCAAAAGACAAAAACCAAACAAACATGAAAGTGCAAAATAGAAGTGACTCCACTAACCTTGGGAGTTTTTAAAGTACACGTGGGTACGTAGTTGTACATGCCCGAGCAGTCCGTCGTGCCGTGTTGTTGAATTCGTCTGCAACCACACAGGGGTCGCTCAACCCAAGACTCTCGGACCGTTCGACTTGCCCTTCTTCTGGACACCACGAGGTATGAACATGGCGGGAGATGCGACTACCGCGGGCGTGCTGTTGTTGCCATTTCCAGACTTGTCCTTGTTGTTCTTGTTGTTCCTGTTCTTCCCCTGCTTGTGTTTGTCGTCCTTCTTTACGACAGCCTTGACTTCAGATGTGGCTCGCTTGATGAGGACCGGGTGGCTGCCAATGTACTTGCCATTCATCTCCTTGGCGGCACGGAAGTAGTCGTCGGTGTCTGAGAAGCTCACGAAACCGTAACTTCTGCTCTTGGTGGACTTCTTATCTCGTACGACGCGGGCTTTGGACAGAGAGGGGTACTTGGCGAAAGCTTTGAGGAGTGAATCGTCGGTGACTTCACCCGCCAGGTTACCGATGAAGAGTCGCGGGTGCAAGGGGTTCCACTCGAGTAGTGTCTCGTCCTCCCACTGTTTTCCACCTCCCTCGCGAACAACAGTCTTGCGCTTGCCGTCGGCTGCTGGTCCTGCTTCAGTATCCTGGGTGGTTGCCGCTTCCGGTCGAGCGGTCATGTTCGCACCGGTGCCCTTCTTCGCGTTCGCATCGCCAGCATTGTATGCGCTGTTCCACTCGGCGATGCGGGCTTCTTCTTCGGGATCATAGGTGCCACCAAACCCGCGGTTCACGGTCGGAGCAGCTGGGTATGAGGCCGCAGCAGGTGCGCCCGTCGCGTAGGCTGGGTAAGAGTAGTTGTTGTAAGCATTGCTGGTCGGGTATGCGGGTGCTTGATAGGGGGCGCTCACTGGGGCTTGCGCGTAGTTTGCCGGCGCAGCAGACGCCGGTGTGAAGCCAGCAAACATGGGCGAGTTGCCCTGGCCTCGTGCGCCGGCGTTGTTGGTCCTCGAGGGCGGTGCCGAGTATGTCGTGGGCGGCGGGCGCGCTGGCAGAGAGTGATGGGGCTGCATGTTGAAGTAGGAACTGCGGGTCAGTTCAGCTTAACCTTAGCGAGGTGATGACTTAACCAGCTACTGGTCGAGACGCGCTCTGATGTTGCGGAGTGGGTAGACTGGTGATAGGACGGTCGGGTGGCTAAGGATGCGTAGTAATCTACGGTGCGCAGATTTTGAGGGTGCGCGAGGGTGTGGTTGCACCGATGAGGTGAGGCGCAGTTTCTGTATGGCTGGGGAAAATGCCTCTCAATGAAGCGCGTCCGTGTGAGTGAATAACCGCCCGGGCAGTGCCGTGCGCGTGAATGTCTGGAGCTGATGCTGACTACACGTCGAAGATGGCAGAAGGCAACAAGACTTTCCCGAAGCGTCTAGCAAGCGAGGCTGCAGGTGGGCGAGGACTAGGTCGGCGTTTGAAGAGGGCAGAGTGGGATGGCGGGCCGGTGCAAATTACAATTACCGTGGGGATGCGTCAGGCAGATGGGGGCGTCGACGTCCGTTGTTGGTTTCTGTCGCAGAAAGTGAGCCAAGCGGCTCCTCCGGCCCCGAAATCACGTGTTGCCGGCATATCGGCAGCCGCTGCACACCACGCTGCATCGCAAGGCTCAACCTTGAACAGCCAGGAAGAAGGTGCAGCGCGATGCACAGGCGTCACCGGTGATGAGTTTTCTCTCATCGCGTCAGCCCTCACAGTCCATCCAGGTAGCCTTGGAAACATTGCAAGACTTCTCCGGCGACCTGCCCTAGCGTATCCGGTGATCCCTGCACGCTGCCCCTCCATCCGTACTGCGTAATGCTGTGTTAAGGCTGAGACGGAGGGGCTTCACAAGCAGCCGCATTTGACCGCGACGCCGTTGGGACTGTTGCTTGCGTCGCTAGTCTGCTAGGATGAAATTGATCTCAATAGTGAATGTACACGCAGTCGTGATAGCCATAGCATCTGCAACCACATGCGCAACCCACCCGTGTCTAGCCCGCTCATTAGACGGCGGCTTTCTAATCATGCGCTGTGATGTTCAGCAATCATGTCGGCAGCGGTGCAAACGTTTTACAAGACGGAATTGGCAACAGTGGCTTGTATGACATACCTTACCGCCGCGGCCGAAGCTATTCTCCGTCAACAGCGTGATGCTGGGATATGGTGGTGGGACGTGCCATTGATGCAATAGTAGTGTGCCCCGCTTGTTCCAAAGACTTTCCGCGTACATATCTTGACGACCCCCACCAGACTTCTTCTTCCTTCTCTTGACCATCTCCCGCTTTATAAGCCTCAATTGCCCTCGTATTGCACGCCCGGTCGCTGCAATTCTACCCCGCCAACACTTTCTCATCCACCCACCTACCCCTACACGAGAACGCAATCATGTCTTCTGAGCCCGTCGGAGATTTCGGCCTCATCGGCCTGGCCGTAAGTACTCCATGTTCCGATCGCGTCCACGGCGAGTGCAGCAGAAAGTGCGCGTCGTCGTGCCTTCCTGCCAGCCATTGAGTCCAAAGCGCGAATTATCCGGAGACATTCATCCCCAACGCATCAAGGCCAGCCATGCTGACCATACATATAGGTCATGGGCCAGAACTTGATCCTCAACGCGTAAGTCACAACAAACGTCATAACCTGCCAAACCAGTACTAACACCAAACAGTGCTGACCACGGCTTCACCGTTGTTGCTTTCAACCGAACGTAAGCGCCTCGATACACCGCGCCGCCAACACACACTGACAGGCAGATAGCGTTGCCAAGGTCGACCGTTTCTTGAACGATGAGGCCAAGGGCAAGTCCATTGTTGGCGCCCACTCCATCAAGGAGTTCGTCTCCAAGCTCAAGAAGCCCCGCCGCATGATGATGCTCGTCATGGCTGGTAAGCCCGTTGACGACTTCATCGAGCTCCTCCTCGAGGGAGGTGCCGAGGAGGGCGACATCATCATCGACGGTGGTAACTCCCACTACCCCGACACCAACCGCCGCACAAACTACCTCAAGTCCAAGGGTATCCGATTCGTCGGAACTGGTGTCTCTGGAGGAGAGGAGGGTGCCCGCTACGGTCCTTCCATCATGCCCGGTGGTAACGAGGAGGCCTGGCCATACATCAAGGTAGGAATGCGCGAAGAGATGAACAGGACAAAACTAACAGAAACCAGGATGTCCTCCAGTCCATCTCCGCAAAGTCCGACGGCGAGGCCTGCTGCCAATGGGTTGGTGACGAGGGTGCCGGTCACTACGTCAAGATGGTCCACAACGGTATTGAGTACGGTGACATGCAGTTGATCTGCGAGGTGAGCCGAGACGATCATACAGAAAGAAAGAGGCGACTGACAGAAACAGGCCTACGACATCATGAAGCGCGGTCTCGGCATGAGCAACAAGGAGATTGGCGACGTTTTCACACAATGGAACAAGGGCGTTCTCGACTCATTCCTGATCGAGATTACCCGTGACATCATGTACAAGAACGACGACGATGGTGTTGCCATCGTTGAGAAGATCATGGACTCTGCTGGTCAGAAGGGTACCGGAAAGTGGACCGCCATCAACGCGCTCGACCTCGGTATGCCCGTTACCCTGATCGGAGAGGCCGTCTTCGCCCGTTGCCTGAGTTCGCTCAAGCAGGAGCGTGGCCGCGCCGCCGGTCTTTTGGACGGCCCCACCCCCAGCTTCTCTGGCGACCGCCAGGCCTTCATCGACAACCTCGAGCAGGCTCTTTACGCATCCAAGATCATCTCGTACGCCCAGGGATTCATGCTGATCCAGAACGCCGCCAAGGAGTACAAGTGGAAGCTGAACAAGCCCGAGATCGCCCTCATGTGGCGCGGTGGATGCATTATTCGCTCCGTCTTCTTGAAGGAGATCACCAAGGCTTACCGCCAGAACCCCGAGCTCGAGAACTTGCTGTTCGACGACTTCTTCAGCAAGGCTATCCACAAGGCCCAGTCCGGATGGAGAGACGTCGTTTCCAAGGGTGCTCTCTGGGGTATCCCCACCCCTGCTTTCAGCACCGCCCTCAGCTTCTACGACGGATACCGCGCCAAGGACCTGCCCGCCAACCTGTTGCAGGCGCAGCGTGACTACTTCGGTGCCCACACCTTCAGGATCAAGCCCGAGTACGCCAACGAGACCTACAAGGAGGGCCAGGACATCCACGTCAACTGGACCGGAAGGGGTGGTAACATCTCTGCTTCTGTAAGTTTCACGCACATTGATCATTTAGAAGACACTAACAACTTGCTAGACCTACAACGCTTAAAAAGGGGATATCCATTGCTTGTTAGACGGGAGCAGAGGGCTGCCCCGAGTTCATGTTTTATGAAGAACGTGAAAACTGAGATACCTCGAATCTAGAATGAATATAACGATTCGCATGTCCAATGTTTGCATGTGCCGGTGAATGTTTGAAGCTCAGCTTGACCGCTGTGTTGTTACTCGTACGCTAGCTGGAGTTAGCGTTGATCGTCGCGTACCTCCAGGTAGACCCTTGACGAGCCACCCCACTATGAATTGAACATTGTTACGAGGTCGCACGCGCATCGGCTTCCCAGCAATCAGGATACACTCGGGACGGAAGCGTCTCCAAGGCCTACACCATATACCTTCTGTAATTGGCCCAGCGGCAAGCGCCCTGCGTAAAGGCTTGGCATCGCGACCACGGAAAGTTGCAGCGCATCACGACAACACCAACCCACCCGCCTCGCGCTCCGCCAGCTCCGCCACGCCAGCGCTGCCCCACGACCCGGTTGCGCGTGCGTCGTCGCGTTTTCATTTCTTTCATTCCTTTGGATTGTATATTCACTGCTTGTATGAGTCTCTGGCGTTAGGTCCTCCGTCGTAGAATCTGGGCAGGGACTAGGTGCTGACGAGACCCAATTGTAGCGGAGCAACACGTTAGCCTCCGCCGCCCGTAATACACAGAATACACAGTCGCCTAGACGAAGGCACACAAGCGTAGGACCGTCATGGCGGACAACAAGCGCAATAGCGTTGCGGGCAAGGTTGCGACTCCGAACCTAAAAGCTGGCCCTGGATCGAACAAAGATGTCATTGGCGCGGATTCCGATCTGTACAAGGCTGTTGGGTCACGGTACGTTCCGCTCGTCGAGATGGTATCACCGCTGGGATAGTAGCTAACAGTTCTCAGCATCAAAGTCACATGTGCCCCTGGCAAGAACGTCCTCGAGGGCACCCTCTTCACGGCCTGCAACCTCACCCACGCCATAGCCATCAACACTGCGCCCGCTCCACCGAACCCCTCCCCCACCTCCTTATTCAGCCAGCCCGGCGACTACCACATCATCCCATTCGCACACATTGAGTCCTTCGAGATCATCGGCACAGGAGAGCGGGCACCTGAATCCGCAGCAGGGTTCGATGGCGCACTCCCCAGCATCTCTAAGGTGGATCTGGCGGCGCTACAAGCCCGTGAAGACCAGACCATCCGCGAGATGAAGAAGAAGGATATGCAGAAGGGCAAGGGTGTTAGTGCCGAAGCACAGGAGTTGTTCGATGCTATTTCGAGGACGTGAGTCATATCAGAGTTGGCAGGTGTGAGGTATCAGAACTGACAGGTGGATTGTAGTCTACCAACTCGCTGGGCAGACACACAGATCGTCGTCAACGACTCCGTCCTCATTCAGGCCCCGTACACGCTCGACAGCATCAAAGCACCCGCCGACAAGCACCAGGCCAAGGCTCACGTTCGCAAGGTCGTCGAAGCCTTCTACCAGCGTAAGAAGGGCGCTTCTGCGGGTGGGGCGGCTCGCGCTCCGGTCGCTGTGCCCAATGCCCCTTGGAAGGGAGGTTAGAGTCCGGTCACCCCAGGGCTTTGGCGACGGATAAGTCGATGTAAACATTCCGCAGAGGATATGTCGCTGGCTGAAGGGTTTAGTCTCGTTCGTTGTGTGAGGTATGAATCACGGAAGAATTATGTAATGATGGTAGCAGTCATGCATTCTATGGGAGGGTGCTGGAAGGTAAACATGCTATACCGTATGGCATAGTAGGCATTTCAGAAATTTACAAAATGTTCAAAAGCCACGGCTCGTTTCGCCGTGTGATGTAAGTGCGATAGCTCAGCTTGACGTCTACGACAGGATCCCAACGAACGCACGAACACGGCATTTAGTACAATGACGACTACAGAAGTTTGCAGATGATGGACCACGCGTCAAACAGCAGGCTGCAGCTGAAAGCCTCTTTCTCATTACGATGGCAATTGGGACGCTCTTTATACCTCATCGCTAGGTTATAAAACCAGTCTTGTTCCGACGCACCGGTTCAACCCGCATGTTTCGCAGCGAGCGAGATGGACCCCTTGAGCATCGCAACGAATGTGGTAAGTTTAGCAAAACTGGGGCCTATTTGAAGCTGTCAAGCTAACCATACTTTTAGCTCCGGATCATTACGACTTTCCTCGGAGCTGCCAAAGGCCTCAACGACATACGGAACAAATGGAAGCACGCGCCCGCTACCGCGCTGTTCCTCTGTTCCCAGCTCAAACTCAACGGGGCTTTACTTTCGCGGCTGCAGACACTACTTCTGGACGAAACGAATGCTGTGCACGCGGACCCAGACTTGGTCGATACGCTCGATACGACTCTGATAAGCTCTCTCGTGCTGGGGGTATGCCTCGGGAAGTACGTGTCGAAGATCATGAAGGGCGTCCATGGCGATGGTAGTATGACCTCGAAAGCCAAATTCAGGACTCTGTGGAATGAGGATGAAGTCAAGGACTTTTTGGAACGACTGCATCAACAGTATTCTGCCATCAACATGTTGATCGGCCCGCTGAACAAGTGAGTTAAGACAAAGCCTCCATATGGCGTACAGATACAGCCATGAATGGCCGACTGAATTTAGCAGGGCTTCTTCGACCGGGAGAAAGAAACCCCTTCAGGAAAAAGAACAAAGCAAGACGATGACAACAATGAACGAACACACCCAAAACATGCGAAAGGCTTATGCCCTCACAGTGGCGGAGTCTACATTCAAAACCGAAGATTCCCCCGATAGTCTCTTGAGCAATCTCTCCACCCTTGTCGGTCCTACTGACGGCTCCCCCGAACAACACTTCGAATCTGTCCTCTCAAACTCCAGAGTATACAAAAAAGCTTCCAACGCAGCTATGAGACAGCGGCCGAATACCGATTTCGACAATGCAAGCATGAGGACTAATCATTCTACAACTGCAACGATTGGCGACCCGGACTTCATTGCCGACCCATCAAACACTGAAGAAGACACAGCTACTACAAGGCCTATAATCGTTCATACCTGTGATCCAGTCGATAGGGCGAAGAGGAATCTCAACGTTGATGGCGTAACAGGTATTTGTACCGAAAGCTATCCCACTCAAGAACCCGGAAAGCTGAGTTACAAACCACACGACCGGATACAGAATGTACGGAAGGTAGATGCGGCGTGGTGGTTCGGCAATACTGAACTGTCAGAGAACGTGCCTGATAAGAGTGGGATAATTTTTCGTCGAGACTTTTACCCTGTTTACAGGCTCAACGAATGGAAACCGGCATACACCGGTAGGAGCATGGGCATCGAAGCCGTCGGTGAGTGTTGGTTGCGCTATGAAGAGGGAGATCGAGTGGAATTCAATGTAAGTGGCATGAAAAACCTATCCCTATTCCATTGAGCTAACCAATCCAGCGAGTATACCACAACTTCATCTGGCACGTCAGGATATGTAGGAACTCAGACCATCACGCTGGGTCAAACGACATAGACTCACGGTGTCACAATGCTTCAACAGAGGGACAGATGCTAGTCGATACCATCGTGCTGAGTGACGAGATCCGCGAACAGGTCGATACTCTGCTAGCACATTGTGCTTGTCCTCTTACGCGTCTCGTCGGCTTGGAAGGACGTGAACGGTCCAAAGAGATTATAAAGATGGTAAATGAAGACGGTTGGCCCGAATCCGAGCAGAAAATTATAGCGGATTGCAAGAGCTTTAGGGAACTACAAGAAGCGGCGGAGTTATATAGGATGTGTGGATAATAGGGCTGGGACCTGCAATGAGTCACAGGTGTGTCCACAGACACGGCAAAAAGGTAGATGAAGCATACATGGCAGGATACGGATTCAATTCGCTGGGTGAAAAGTACGCGAAGACCATCACGCTGCCTTATACTAATATACAAAACGCCTCAACACATGCCCGTAGTCCCCAAACCCCCCTCCCCCGAACCTCACCACTCTCAACCCCTCCACGCAAGCGCATCCTTCTCCAGCACCGCATGCCTCATCCGAAGCAAGTCCACCCGACTAGTATACGTCAGGCGCCCCTCTTTCTTCCACCTCATGTTGTACGGGATCTGGTACGTATCCAGTACATCCACAAACGCACCCGCCCTGGGCTCATACGCCCCCGCCGTCTGATCCACCTCCAGATTCATCTTTTCGGGCCCCATGCCCCCACCGTAAGAGACATCGTTTTTCCCGCGGAAATTGGCTCCAACGACGTACGTGCTGCGCGCACGAAGCGACTCCATCTTATTGGTGAGGCCGTTGCCTCCGGCGGTGGTGATGGGCATGCCGAGCATGCAGTCGTCCATCTTCTTGACGATGATGAACGGGTAGACCTTGATGCAGATCTGGCCGTACTCGGACTGGACGAACCAGTCGCGCGAGGTGGCTGCCATGCGCGGGAGTGGCGCCCATCCGATGTCGCCTACGCTGATGGCGGCGATGGCGTTGGCGTCGAGGCGCCGCGGGTGCTCGGGCCCGTGTGGTGGTGGTGGTGGTGGTGGTGAAGGCGAATCTTTGTCGACCTCCATCTCATCTTCCTTCACCCCATCCTCCTTCACCTCCCCTTCCTCCATCTCCCTTCTCCTCCTCCAGCCCCAAAACCTCACCATCCCATCTCGCCAAAAACGCTTCAAATCGCTGCACGCAAAGCAACAACTCACCGGAAATCGTCTCGAGCTCCTTGAGCTCGTCGGCCGTAGCCTCTCCTTCTTGTAGGAGTGCCCGAAGGCGGTGCTGGTGTTCCTCTATGGCGAGGACTTCCATGGCGATGTCGCGCCCGAGGTTGATGGTGGTAAGGGAGGGCATGGCGGGCCATGCCGGCGACGTTGCCGTGAAGGCGAGGAGTGTGGTCATGGTGTGGGTGGTCATGGTGACTATGTGGTTAGCCTGGGAAATGGAGGGGAGGGGGTAGGGTGTATGTAGGCGGCAGAGGGTGAGATGGGGTAACGTAGGGAGGTACTGGGGGTGTATGTAGGCAGTAGAGAGCAGGATGCCAGAGGGTAAGGGAGATACTGGTGATAATGTATACGGTAGAAGGTGAGCTGCAGCAACATATAAAGCTGCCGAAACCTATGTATTCCGCAAAGCCATTGATGCCGTAACAAAAAGAAAGGATACTTACGAGTATAGTCAGTGTGTGTTGCTGGAGAATCTCAAAAATCGGCGGCATGGAAAACTTTTGTTATGGGCGTCCTGGGTGCAAACGCTCGCTGCTGTCTTGGCGGTGAAAAGTGCGGCTCACTGCTCACGTTCACCGTGAGTTTAGCAGAGAGCGAGGAGAGAGGAGCGATATGTGAGCGCGGAAGTGAGCGTGACGGTGACATTAGGGTTGGATTTTGTATGGGTCATGCAAGAAATGAGGTTGACGGATACGTGGGAGATGGCATCTGTACGTAGGAAGGTCAGTGCGTGATGTAGGCGTTTTATGGCATTACGGCGTGATGGATACTACTAGCATGACATTGATGTAGGCATATCATGGCATTGAAATGTTGGAGATATCGGCTACAGAACTTGATTTCGTATGCATGACTCCCTGGTTCTGTATGCTACAGTATACGGAAGAACGAGGTCTTCGTCTGCACAAGCTTTTCAAACCGCAGATTCATACTGCCCTTTCACTTTCACCGCCCTTTTCCGCTTGACCTAGCAGCGAACTCAGCATACTGGACAGGATTGTAATGTCCGAATGGGAATGTCTGAAGATGGAGAGATGGCCACTGTTGTCACTATGTCTGTAACCGATGTCGAGCCAAACTACTTATATAATAGCCTCTCATCTCACGGTTATGATTCAGACAAACGCTCACTTCCACTCCACCCCCCAAGTAACCTCCCCCTTCCTAAACGGCACGACCTCACAGTCGCCCCCACCCTCCTTCCGCAGTACATCCACCACCGTCTCCTTCCCCTTCCTCAACACAATCCTCTCCTTCCTCTCATCCACAATCTGATAAAACCCCCTCCCCCACCCCCCAAAGAACCCCTCCAGCACCTCCTTCGTCACCTCCTCCTCCCCAATAACCCCCCTCTGAACCCCCACCTCCAGCGCATCAAGCACATACCCCACCGCATACGGCTGCGTAAAAACCCCCGCAGCAACCTTATCCTCCCCCCTCTTTTTCCCCCTCGGATGCGGCGCAGAATCCGTTCCAAGAAAAAACTTCCCATTCCCCTGCACCACCGCGCGGAGCAACGCATCCCGGTCCTCAGGCGTCTTGGCAACAGGCTTGCAGAAACAAAAGGGATCGCCTGCCCAATCATCGATGATGAGACTGAGGTGGTGCGCGGTGATTGTGCCGCTGACGGAGGGGCCGCAGGAGCGGACGGCGGAGAGGGCGGCGGCGGTGCTGCAGTGCTCGAGGATTATGCGAAGGGCGGGGAATTTGGCGTGCAGGGAGAGGAAGGTGGGGAGGAAGGCGGGTTCGGCGTTGAGGATGGTTATGGCGCCTGTTTTGCTGTCTTTGGTTGTTGTTACGTGGGTGTTTGGGGGTGTGGACGGGACTTCGCCGTGGAGATTGAGGACCATGTTTTGTTTCTCCATTTCGGCGAAGACGGGGTAGAAGGGTTCGTAGGAGAGGACGCCTGAGGAGGAGTTCTGTTGGGGGTTAGGATGTCTGTCACATGGGTTGCCAATCTCTTCCTCTCTTATCCTCTTTTTTGGCATGTTCTTGGGGACGAGTGTCTGGATCCGTACATACCGTAGTAACTCCAGCTGGGTAAGACTTCACACCCGTAATCCCCGCCTTCTTCGCTTCCCGAATAACCTCCGGCGTGATATCCTCGTGTAGATACAGCGACATAACGTAGTCCACATTCGGCTCAATAGCACGAAGTCTGTCGCGGTACTCGAGACATTGCTTCACGGAAGTGATAGGCGGGACCAGGTTCGGCTGTAATAGTGATATAACGGGTTAGAGAAACGTGACTGAAATATTGCGAGATTCGCAAATCGGCAACAACACATGAACAGAAAGAGAGGACGAAGAGGAGCAAGAATGACGATGGTAGCAAAAACGAAATGACCGACATCTTGAATGAGAAATGGACGGTATGGAACTTACCATAACATAAACCTGATTCACACCACCCTTACGAATCGTAGGCGTAACAAGCTGCGACATCTCGCCATCTCTCAGATGCACATGAGCATCATACGCCGCTGGCAGCTCAATTTCCGTCAGTTCAGTAAACTTCATCTCTGGCTTCTGATGACTATGAATCGTGGAGTTAGTCGTTGCTGTTGTTGTTACCCCCAAAAAAGTTGTCCCGCATTTTATGCGAGATCGGGCACCGCGGGCGCAAATAGAGCCGCACTAGTCCGGATGTGGAAGGGCATCATCAACGTGCAGATAAACGTACAGATAAACACGGATATGCTGGATGCGGGTGTTTCCATCTTCAAACCAAGACCTACATGTGATCGAATCACCTTATCACACAGCCCCCAACCTGAGTGACTTTAACCCCGACTAGAAGAGCATCACGAAGCTTCCGCAAGTATAGTGGAACAAGCGGTGAAATCTTGTGCGATTGCGGCGCCTCTAAGATCGTAACGAACTGTCGCTTTCCCGTAACACCAAGGCGGTCTCCTTCTTACAACATCTATCTTCAATCTTACAACTCACTATGCCCCTCCCTCTGAGCATCCTTCTCCTCCTTCTCCCTCCTCTGCTCCTCCTCCTGCACATCCACCACCCCCGCCTTCTCCTCCTCCCCCTTCACGCGTCTAGCCAACCCCGCAATCTCCTCATCATAAACATTCCACTCAGGAACCTGCCTGCGCGCCCGATCCAACTTCGGCTCCTTGGTCTGCGGATTATTACAAAGATCAATCGTCTTCGCCTTGGCGAGATCCTCATCGCTGCACCAAGTCTCGCACCACAGCCACTCCTGGGGTAAACTGTGGATGGGGAGGTTGAATTGCATGTTATTGGGTAGGTCTTGGTCGAGGTTGGAGAGGGAATTGGGGTCCGCGGAGAGGGCGTGGTATTGCTGGCGGAGGCGGTCGCCGGCGGCGAGTTGGCGGAAGCGGGTTAGGTCTACGACGTAGAGGGCGGAGATATGGTAGGGGCGACCGCGGAGGAAGTTAGCCCAGTAGCCTGTTTTCCAGAAACGGAATCCTTCCATTTCGGTGCGCGAGTCGCCCATGGGTGTGAAGCCGTAGGGTGCGCCTTCGAGGTCGTGTTGCACGAGTTCGTACATGTCTGTTCGCACGATTTGGTCGGCGTCGACGAAGATGACTTTTTCGAGGTCGAGCGGGAAGAGGACGTCGAGGAAGAGGATTTTGTAGCCCCAGATCTCGCGCTGCTTTTCGGTTTGGCCGCGCAGCCAGTGCGGCCATTTGTAGGTCACCATCTCGTATTCGAATCCGTACTCAGCAGCGATGTGCGGAAGGAAAGACTTGAAGCTAGGTGACAGGAACTGCTCGATGAACCAGAACTTGACGGTGTGTTTCGTGTGCTTCATGACAGATACCATCATGATGTTCAGCATGCGCTCGTATAAATGGCCCGAAGCGACGGAGAAAATGTTGATGTCTGCTTGCGTGCCTTTCTTCGCCGCTTTACTTCCGGAGAATAGGTCAGCGCCCTTTTGCAGGACCTTTTCGGAGTCGAAGTTGAGACCGATCTTGCCGAGGAACTTGTTGACCTTTTGCGCACTCTTGCCAACCAGCTCAGAGGCGAGCGACTCTTCAGGAGCGAGTACATCAGTCTCTTCTTGACCTGGCTTGCGCGATAGACGAGGGAATATTGTCGCTCCTTGGAAGCTCATGAGCGCAATCTCGGTAGTCTCGTCACCAGGTACGGGTGCCCAGCTAATAGGACCTGCACTATCAAGGCTGAAAACTTCCTGAGAGCGACCGCTCTTGAGCTGAATGTTGTAAAAGCCAGGAGTGGCCTTGAACTGGAAGTAGCCGAGATTAGCCATGATGATCGTATCCGCGAAATGAGGATCCCGCTCGGTGGCAAGAACAACTTCAGCACCACGCGGTGGGTGACCACCATTCGTAGTGTCACGAGAGTGGCCCTCGATAAGAATGTTTTCCAATTCATAGACAGCGGTGACATCGGCACCAGCAGGAATGGTACTAAGCTTGATGTTGTCGAGATCATATACAGACTCTTTCGGGGCAACTAGCCAAGAGGGTGGCACATCCATGCCAAGGTTAAGCAAAGCCTCCTTGGGGATGCCATAAAAGTGGGTTCCAAGGCTTCCGATCGATCCATCGGCGACGAAGGACGGTCGGGCTTCCAGGACGTATCTGTAGAAACGTTTGACAGGAAGCTCTTGAAGCATCTGCTTCGGGTTGAGGAAAAGCTTGAGATGTGTGCCCTCCATATCGCTGAGTACTTTCAGAATGGGTACCCACTTCTGGGCCAGCTCTGTCGCGGGGTCAATTGAGGCTACGATCTGGAAGACAGCCTTGTCTTCGTCACCCCGGATGATAGCGGTATGCTTGGCAGTCCAGTTGTTGTAAATGCTCATCCTCAGGGTTGATGCAGTCTCGAAGATGCCTTCTGGAACGTCCGACACGGTGGAAAGTGCGACCAGCGACTGGATCTTCGCAACATCTAGAGGAGATGCGATCTTTTCCATGAGATCAAGATCGGCAAGCGCATTGTTCAATGGCTCAACTCGTTTGACCTGCTCATAAGTGACAAAAGTTTCCACGTCATCGTATGAGAATCCGTAATCTTCTGGGATGGGTCCCACGTAGCGTCCGTTGACGAGCATGCCGTTCTGTCCCGGCTTCAGACCGAACGCGTCGTAGATCGGCTCAGCAACCTTCCAGAATTGAGTGGAGTTGGCGGGAGTTGGTCCGGAGTTGGCATCCCGGTTTATGATCTCGGAGAGGGCTTCGCTTGTAAGCTTACGACCAGACTTGATGTAAGTCTCTAGAAGATCTTCTGAGGCGTTCGGCTGCTCCGCACCGGCTTTCGGGTTGTGTATGAGAACAGCCTCTACGTTGGGGTTTGCCTCACGGAAATCTGCCAGTGCTTTAAGAAGAGCAAAACCAGCCTCCGAGTCGAAATCCGCCACAAGCGTGACGTGAATCCAGTCATTCTTGCTAGCAGACTCCGATGCCTGGATCCGCGGCATCTTATTGTAGGCCTCGCCATGGGTCTCTTCAAATTCAGCCATATTAATGAGCGTGATGTTCTTCTCGTTCTCCGGGATGATGAGAGGATTGCGCTTAGCAGCAGCTGAGGCCAAGAAGTGTTGCGGAACCCAACTATCACTGTTGAAGTTACCGTTGAAGACTGCTTGTTGAATCTGACGAAGATCCATGCCGACTCTTTGACTGAGTGTTCCGAGCCATTCTTCGGTTGCTGGAATGGGTACACCGTTGACAAAGACCGGGGCTTTGGGACCTTCTGCTGCTAGACGCTTCAGGTACTGTTTGGCGCCTGTGATGTGCTGATCTAACGTCTCTGACTTCAGTATGTCATCGAACGCAAGCGCCTCCTTTCCATCGAGGAGCGCAGTTTTCTTGACTGTCACGTCGAAAGTGGCTTGGTCTGCGTGCGCCAGCTTCTTGCCATCTAACAGCTGAGCTTTGCGTCAGCGCAACATACGAGAACATAAGGGATTTTAGTACTTACTACTTGAAGGTATTCAATCACAGCGGGTAGTCCATACGCATCTTGTAAATAGTAAACGACCTTGGCCTGCTCAAGAGCACCAGTTGTAGCGGTCTGAGGAACGATACCCCAGCGCAGTGGGATACCACGCCTGATGAGACTGAGGATAGTCTCAAGCATGGTCGTAACATCTTCGGACGAAGTCAAGTCGACAGCGACGATGGCGTTGTGAATGTCTCTACGGCAAGATGGCAGTTGACCAGGGTATGTTCTTTGCAGCAACTGTGATTACGATTAGCTCGCGATCGATGACATGAATGATCGTACCCACAGCCCTAAGTTCACTCGGCCACCCTTCATACATCGGGTCTTTTTCGATGTCGTTCAGCCACAAGATGACGTTGCCGCCTTCGGTAGCATCTCTAAAGTCGTAACGTTGAGGTTCAGCATCCGTCTGAGTCTGGGCGATCGAATCATGCGACAACAATGAAATGACCTCAGAACCGCTTAGACCCTGACTGCGTATCCCGTTGATCAATTTACGTTCACGTCGCAAGTGTGCCAACAGCGAGAACGGGTTTACATCGCGGGCTGGGATCTGTACGCCGTTGATCCAAATGACATTGTATCCGGTAGGGAGGAGTTGCTCGCGGTTCTTCAGATGTTCTTCGAGGAAGTCTTCCGAAGCGTTGTGGGCTGCGATGATGGACGAGTACTTTGGGAAGTCTTGCACGAGCTTCATGAGGGTATCCATGGGTTGTTCGCTTTGGGTTACAAAGCTAGCAGCCTTCAGCCCTAAATCGGATACCTCGTCCTTGGACAAGGGCTTGAGGTCTGCGACATCTTCATCGTCGTCCAGGCCGGTGCCCATTGGCTTTTGAGAAGCACTCTTCTCTCCCTGTTCAGCCTGCCTGTCGTCTATGACAATGTAGTCGGTCCGCTTCAGTTGTAGCTCGACACCGTATCCGTTCACTACCAGCGGCGTTGTTGGTGCCTTCAAAGAAGGCTTGTGCCGGACACGGTACGAAGTCTTCCCTTGCTTGGCTGTATCGCTCAATGTCTTGTGCCATTTTTTGAATCGAGGAGCCGTGATGTCGGCGTATAGGATCGCGGGTAGAGCCGAGCTGTTGCCAAGTATGCGGTCGAAGGGTAGTTTGTATGTCCTGTCTGGCTCTCAGCGTCTGCCCGTAGACTAATTCATTTGTACATACCGTTCGCTCTCAATGTCTCCGAAAGGCTCGTCTAGGTGTACGGAGCAGTATTGCTTCCCATGAAACGATGCCCAAATCTCGCATTTCTCATTCTGCTCCGCCTTCAGTGAAGGCTCCACCGATGTATTGTAGAATTGGTAATGTGCTTCTATCCGCGGCGCAGCCGACCGGATTGAGAGAGCGAGATCGAAGGAAGCGAGGGCTTCGGGCTGGGTGATGTGTCCATCGCTTTTCAGGACGTCCACAAAGGCTGTATACAGCGCCTGCTCTGTAGTCTTGTCGTCGAAGTACCCCTCGGATACGCGGTCGAGGATGGGGTAGTATGCCGTCGCATTCTCTTCTGCTGCAGTTTCTCTGGGAGGAGTTAGCTGTAGCTCTAGGTCTTCGCAAAGTCGGAGCGTA